ATTGCTCTTCCCTCTCTCTCATCAATCCATGTCTCTGGTCTTTAAAATAACTTGTTATGTAAAATTATTTATTTATCTAAGATGCACCTACACTGAATTTATCTGAAAAATCAAAAAGTCGATATTAAGAAAAAAATTGTAAATGGAAGATTATAAGAGAGGGTTTCGCGTGCCAGCAAAAGTTACTGGCGTGCCATGTTTGGCGTGCATGCCAGGGGTTGCCCACCCCTGTTCTAGGTACTTTGTACAATGTTTGTCCTCTTATGCCTGGCTTATTTTTCTTAGCATGATGTTTTCAAAGTTTATCCTTGTGCCTGTGTCAGAATTTCAATCCTTTTAAAGGCTGAATGGTATTATTTTATATTTGTATACCATATTTTGTTTCTCCATTCATTTTTCAATGGGCTTTTGGATTTTCTACCTTTTGTCTATTGTGAGTAATCATGCTATGAACATTGGCCTACAAGTTCGTGCCTTCAGTTATTTTGGGTCAATACCTAGAAGTGGAATTGCTGGGTCATGTGGCAATTTTGTGTTTAAATTTTTTTAAGGAGCTGCCATAAACTTTTTGAAGCCATCAAATTTTTAAAAATATTTAGCAAATTCATTCATTTAACAGATATTGAGTGGCAAGTGTGATTTGAAGATTATTTATTCCCTTAGATGCAGTCGACCATTTAGTTCCAATAAGCTCTTATTGCTACCATGCTAGGTACTGTGCCAAAGTAGCTACCTTTGTCTTCTGTGCAAAGAAAAATGTTATCTATATACCGTGGATGACAACTGAACATTCTCCACGGAGTAGAATAGGGGTTCTCCACATCGGGGACAGCAGATGGACACAGGGAGGGGTGGCTGTCTTTAGAGACATTGACTCACGGGGTTTGTACTGAGGGTGTGTGATTCAGGGACAGATGCCCTAGTTACTAACTGAAGGAGGAGAATCCTCTTTCTCAGCACTGACTCAGGTTTCACTGCAGGGTGATAAAGGAAAAACGGGATGCCTATGTGAGCCGCCTGAACACCATCTATGAAAATAATCTAACCAAGGTGAGTATGCTGGGCTTGGAACTTTGAGAAGTTGCGGTTTGTTGCTTGAGTATGCTAACAGGTCCGGCCAGACTGAAGCATAGCCATGGCCCGTCTCTCTCATTGTTTTTGTTACTTCTCTGGTGATTAACGATTCTGAGGTGGACCTGTCAGAGAAAGCCTCTCACTGGGTAGGCCAGTCTCTTTTCTACAGAGAGGCGTGTCAAAGTTGGGAGACCAGGTCTCACCTGATGGCTGTATCTCGAGTAGACCTGGCTCTCCAGTTTGTGCCAGAAGCCAAGCCCATCAGAGACTGAATATGCCAGTTTATTAATTAAAGTCAGGAGCATGATGTGGGTGGAAACGTGCCATTGTTATTTGCTCAGAGCATCCTCATCCTTGGTGGCTAAATCTACTCAGTGGTCCAAGGTATGGTCCAGAAGGTTTCTTTTTCTGTGAATGAAATCTCATCAAGGAAATTGGGCAAAGACGGGTTTGCCTTTAGCAAATACCTGTTGTCCTTGGCTATCCTGAGGCTTTTCCCGTCTTACTGCTTAGATATCATACCTCTCCCACTGGGACTGTGTCAGGGACATGGACAACTTTTGCATCATCGACTCTTTCTTGACGGCATATATCTCATCACCCTTCATTTGCCTTTTTGCTCTCACTTTGCGGTTTCTAAGATTTGAATGTAACAGGTTATATTTAGATTAGAGGATTCTTTTTTTAAAAAAATATGTTTTTTATTGATTTTTAGAGCAAGAGGAAGGGAGAAAGATAGAGAGATAGAAACATCAATGAGAGAGGAACATCACCGATCGGCTGCCTCCTGCACACCCGCTATTGATGGACTGAGCCCACAACAAAGGCATGTGCCCTGACCCCAAACCTCTTGGTTCTTGGGTCAGTGCTCAACTGCTGAGCCACACGGGCCAAGCTAGATCAGAAGATTCTTGATGATACTCAGGCCACTGTAATCTCATTAGTAGATTGTTGATAAGCCAATTTTAGTGTGAGTTACTTCTACAGATGGCTAACCGCAGACATTTTTATGTTGATTCATATCATTCTTTGGGTTTCTTTTTGGATGATGTATTTTCTGACCTTAATCCCCAATTCAATGGGAAAATATTTGGGGCCTTCAGTCCCCTAGACACTGATGACAAGACATTTTAAGTCTATTAGACATGAGTTGAGATAATAGTTGTTATACTAAAACACCCACATCAGATTTTATTAAAAAGTGGAGCTAGCTAAAGTGCAAAAGTGATAGAAAAATCACTCAAGAAACAGCATTTTTTAATACTCACAAATCTTGGTGTGCCGTATAACTTACCCTGACGTTATGGAGAAGGAATTCTGAATAGGAAAGGAAACTTTCTGTCAAATACCCTAGGAAATGAAAGTAAAAATTTCATCAGTTCTTCCTCCAAACTATTGTCTAGATCAGTGATGGAGATCCTTTTGAGCTCGGCATGTCAGCATTTTAAAAAACCCTAACTTAACTCTGGTGCCGTGTCACATATAGAAATTTTTTGATCTTTGCAACCATAGTAAAACAAAGATTTATATTTTTGATATTTATTTTATATATTTAAATGCCATTTAACAAAGAAAAATCAACCAAAAAAATGAGTTCGCATGTCACCTCTGACACGCATGTCATAGGTTCGCCATCACTGGTCTAGATTATTGCCATTTGATGCATACCCCTTTTTGGCTAGCACCCCCTAAGAAATTATTACCTCCTGTAGGAAGGATTTTGTGGAGGTTTGCGGCTTTTGGCATTGATCTTGATTCATCCTGATTAAGCAGGGCACGTGCAGAGCAGGCCTGGAGGGGTGATTGCAAAAGAGGCAATAACTCAATTAAGAATCAAGCATGTTCTAAAATGTTCCAACATTCTCTTCTGTAATCCTGTTTGCATAATGCCATTATCCTTGTAACTGCCCACATTTGCATGCCAATACATGCATCATAGCTGGCAGAAGCTTGCTGGCAATCTCCAATCCCCAAATGGAGGCCCTGGCACAGTATGAGCAAGTGAGGGTTTGCGTTCTTAGCATTTCTAGCCTGGACCTTCATTGTCATGTAAATTGGCGGTGTTCTCCCCATTTTGTTTAAGAAAACCTGAAACATCGCATTTTCCTGCCTTGGCCTGAGTATTTCTCTTTCGCCTCTGCTCCCTTTGCCGCTATCCTTTTTTCTCTCTTAGCCCTCTGTTCCTCCTCCGACAACATCATTCTTCATGGTGTTTCCATTGCAAGTGAGACTTTTCCCCTCAAGTTTTGGAGACAAAAATATCTTTTTCCTTGTGGGGGTGACTTGCATATTCCTTTTGGTCTCTGGCCAAAAACAGCACCTTTATTTCTTCTTACTTGTACATTTCCAGCATCGAATGGCAATCCCCTTACCTAAGTATCAGTTAAACAGAAGTTCTGTAGAAACTCGAACATTGAAAGTTGTCTTGGCCTCAGCAAACCCAAATTCAGAATCCTCAGTGGAGAAGGGAAAGCTCTGATAAGGGCAGCAGATGTTTTTGTTTTAGCTTACGAACATTTTCATGTCACGGTTCCTCTCCAGGCCAAGATAGAAATCATCACTGGCTACGCAGCGTTCACCGGTGACCCCAGGCCCACTGTAGAGGTCCGTGGGGAAAAGTACACTGCTCCTCACATCCTGATTGCAACAGGTGGCGTGCCCTCACATCCTCTGGAGAGCCAGGTCCCGGGTGAGTCTCCCAGAGGCAAATGCTTGTGAATAACAGCCAGGGGGAGGTAATTGGAGGGTGGGAGAGTGAAGCAGAGCCAGCGGAGTCTACTCTTAAGAGCTGAGCAAATGTTGGTTTCACAGAGAAATTTCATAGTTATTTGGTCATCACTGCTCTTATTTCTAGAGGGAGGGAAAAAAATGTCTACCAGGGCCCTGACCGGTTTGGCTCAGTGGCTAGAGCGTAGGCCTGTGGACTGAAGAGTCCCAGGTTCGATTCCGGTCAAGGGCATGTACCTTGGTTGCGGGCACATCCCCAGTATGGGGTGTGCAGGAGGCAGCTGATCGATGTTTCTCTCTCATGGATGTTTCTGGCTCTCTGTCCCTCTCCCTTCCTCTTTGTAAAAAATCAATAAAAAAATTTTTTTGAAAAAATGTCTACCAGGGGAAGACTTGGTTGGCAGCTTCCCAAGTGAGGACTTTTAAAAACTTGTCAAAACAGAGAGCATGATGGCTAAGAGAGTATCGGTTCTTGTGTAAGATGTTGTGATTATTTTCCAAGAGAAGGCTCAGTCTGTGTGATCCATATTTCACTGTCCTAGGTGCCAGCTTGGGAATAACCAGTGATGGATTCTTTCAGCTGGAAGAATTGCCTGGGTAAGCTGGTGTCCTTCCTGACCTCGGTGTTCATGCTCCCTCAGGCTCTCCTCTGACACTCGCCCCTTCCACCCCCAGCCTTAAACACTGGCTTTCCTGGTTCTCTTCTCCTGTCTTCTCTTTTTATGGCATTGGGTATCTCATTCACTCATACCCCTCAATAAGTAACTCAGGTCTTTCCTGTCTTTGGTCAGAATCCATTGCAGAAATTTAAGAACCAGAGTCAAGCACAGGATGGTTCTGAAGGATAGTAAAGCCCTGAAACTATCTTCTGGCTTCAGCCTGATACAGCATCAATCGCTAATGTGTCTCAACACCTGCTTCTGGTGTTCAGAGCAGCTGGTGCACAAATGAAGGCTCTGTCAGTCTCACAAAAATAGATTTTCCGAAATCGCGCTTTCTATGTGTTTGTCCAAATAACCTTAGTACATAAATGTCTGTCATGGGTTCAGATACACGGAGAGGAAAAATATAAGGAGGAAGATATTTTCTCTAATTTGCAGAAGCTCCCAGTGGCAGACTTTCTAAGTTAGAGGGATCCTCCCTTCACTCATGAAAAGAGGCAACACCCAGGCACCGGAGAAGGGACCCTTTAGTGCAGGGACTTTATCTCCTTCCAAGTAACACCCACTCCTGAGTCAGCAGCTCAACTCCGCTGCTCCCAGAGCCGGTGCTGCCAATCCAGTTTGAGGTCTTAATCCTGTGCTTTTATAAAGGCCTTCATGGAGGGGGGCGAGGGTGACTAACAAGTCATGGCCACACCTTTACCTTAATTCACCTGGAGCCACAGTGGATGTGGGACCAGAGGGTTTCTTTGCAGTTTCACGCTGCCGTGAAGGTGTCCTGTTGAGATACGCAGACCAGGCAGTCTTTTGACTTTGAGACAAGCAAACAGCCTCTTTAGACTTGCTGTCTGTGGAGCATGGAAACGGGTTACAGAGCAGCCTTTTTCGCCTCGTGATCCACCCTGTGCTGTTTGGTTTTAGGGTTGAATGATGTGACACGTATGGTCATGACTCGTCTTGTTTGTTGGATGATATAATTCAACCTGGACTCACTCTCAGAGCCATTGGATTATATAAATGTGCATTAAACATTTTATTTTTTTTGTTTTGCATTAAACATTTTAAAATCATTTCTTAAACTTGCATTGCTAGCAATAAATAAATTTAAATGAATTCATTCAAATTGTACCATTGTTTTGATAACTGTGCCATGGTTACGTAAGATATCAGCTTTGAGAAAAACTGGGCAGAAGTATACAGGACATCTCTGTACTAGCTTTTCAACTTTTCTGTAAACCTAAAATTATTCAAAAACAAGTTTATTTTAAAATCGCGACCCTGTGCTTTCATTCAGCCGCAGCGTCATTGTTGGTGCAGGATACATCGCCGTGGAGATAGCGGGGATCCTCTCTGCCCTGGGCTCCAAGACATCACTCATGATACGACACGATAAGGTAAGTTCCGTCCTTTTACCTTCTCCTTCCTTGATGTTAACCTTTTACAAAACCTACAGTGAGAATTTTCTCTTATGTTGTCATTAAAAACTAGGGTGCAAAGCCTACGGAGGTTGGCTGCTTTGTTCCACGTGGGGCTGCATAGAAGCCAATTGAATTAGGCTTTATGTCCTTCCCAGCTTCCAGCTGCTGGTTGATAATAATGATTTCGATTCTATCAAATTGGCTGGTATTTTTATCATGAGGTACTAGATAGTATCAAATGCCTTCAGAAGGAAACACACAGGATCAGTTTAATTTCTTATACGGGAAACCAATTTTATACGATCAGGTACTATTGGATTTTTAACAGTCAACTAAGTTCTTTGCATTAAAAGGAAAAATATCAAAAATATTTACACGTGGATATTCATGGCAGCATTATTTGCAATAGCCAAGAGGTAGAAGCAACCCAAGTGTCCATTGGTGGATGAATGGATAAATACAAAGTGTTATCTATACTAATAAAAAGGGTAATATACTAATTAGACCAGATAGACCTGACATCTTTCGGACGTCCTTCCGGCAAAGCCATAGTGGCAGTGCCGAGGCAGAGGCGATTAGGGGCGATCAGGCAGGCAGGCAGAGCAGTTAGGGGTGATCAGGCCAGCAGGGGAGAGGGGTTAGGGTTAATCAGGCAGGCATGCAGAGTGGTTAGGGGTGATCACGTGGTCAGGAGAGAGCAGTTGGGGTGGTCAGGCAGGCAGAGGGGTTAGGGGCGATCAGGCAGGCAGGCAGAGCAGTTAGGGGTGATCAGGCCAGCAGGGGAGAGGGGTTAGGGTTAATCAGGCAGGCATGCAGAGTGGTTAGGGGTGATCACGTGGTCAGGAGAGAGCAGTTGGGGTGGTCAGGCAGGCACAGGGCTTAGGGGCGATCAGGCAGGCAAAGCAAATTAGGGGAGATCAGGCCAGCCTGGGAGAGTGGTTAGGGGCGATCAGGTAGGCAGGCAGATGGGTTAGGGGTGATCAGGCAGGCAGGCAGAGGGGTTAGAGGTGATCAGGCAGGCAGGCAGAGTGGTTAGGGGTGGTCAGACAGGCAGGCAGATGAGCGGTTAGGTTAGGAGTCAGTGGTCCCGGATTGTGAGAGGGGTACCCGACTGCTGGTTATCCTCCGAGGGGGTCTCAATTGGAGAGGGTGCAGGCCAGGCTGAGGGACCCCCCCCCGCCCTCATGCAGGATTTTTGTGCACCGGGCCTCTAGTATACATATAATGGAATATTATTCAGCCTTAAAAAGCATGGCATTCTGATGTGTTACAATGTGGATGAGCCTTGGGAGCATGCTAAATGAAATAAACCAGACACAAAAAGACAAATACTATATTATTTCACTTCTGTGAGGGTATCTTGAGTAGTCAGACTCACAGACACAGAAAGTAGTATAAGGGTGGTTGTCAGGGAGCTGCAGGGAGGAGGAAATGGAGAGTATTGTTTAATAGCTATAGAGTTTCAGTTTTTCAAGAGAAAAAAAGCTCTGGAGATCAGCACAGCAATAGGAATATACTTAACACTTTGGAACTGTATGCTTACAAACGGTCATGTTGGTAAATTTAATGTTATGCTTTTTTTTTTAACCAGACACAACAAATAATAATAAAGGAAGCTCATAGGTCATTTGCTCTAACCTCATTTTAAGGCTAAGAGAGGTTTTGTGAGTACTAATTAATATCGAAACTGACAGTTAACTAAAGTCTCAGAAGCCCAGGCCAGTATTTTTCCTGCTAAAATGCTGCCTCCCTGTTTGTCACTGAGGATAAAGTGCTGCTTTGTCTGTTTTTTGATTACTTGTGACTTAGCACCTTTGGTTTGTGGCGCAGTATTGGAGTTTCCAGAGGCATGGTGTGGGGCAGTAATAGGAGGGCTGGCCCAAAATCTGCCTGCCCCTAACAAGAGTGTGACTTGGGCAAGTCACTTATTGCCTTTGGAATAGGATTTATCAGATTCTAGACCACTTAGATGCTATGATTCAAATTCTTGGTTATTTGAGCAAATGGAGGGAGATGAGGGAAGCTGACCATGCTGGTCAACGTGTGCTCAAAGGAGAGTCCTCTTTGGCTTTGATGCTTGTCATATAATTAAGCCCCGGGAGATTTACGTCCTGAATGTTTTTCATAGGTCATGTTGTATTTTGCATTGCTGGAATGCATCCAGCAAGTTGGAAGGAAGGAGGAAAGCAGAGGGATAGCTAGCCTGAATTTAATACATAAATAAGCGAATAAACTGCAGCAGTTTGTCAGTAGGATGGTTAATCTCCTGCATTTGGAAAAGTGGCTTGTTTGCCAAGAGCCACCTTATCTGTAATCTGTACATCCTTTAAGTTAATTCTTAGTCTGTCTTTTATCTGATATTTTATGTTTTCCACATAGATCTTAATAAACCCTGTGTTGATAGAATGAATGATTTACAGTGTTGGCCTCAGGTTAGCTTGCAAGAGTTGCATGTCTTTCTCCTCCACTGAAGCGGGAAGAGGAGAAGAGGGTGCTCATAGCCATATTTATATCCTCCTAGCACCTTTTAGAGTAAATCCCCAAAATAGACACTCACTGCATGTCTAATAATTTAAATGAATGATAGCATCTGACAAAGACTAAGTGAATGATTGCTGTGAGAATATTGTTGTAACAGCAATGTTAAAGAATATGTAAATGCCTCCGAAGATATAACTTAACCAGTTCCCTGATCTTCCCACCTCAACTTGATATTCTGAACTCAATTAAGAAAAAATAAAGTGCTTCCATAGATATGGGAGGGAGATTAATGAGCTTTGGTTCTGAGAATATGAAGAGGCAATTAATCGATGTGTCTCTCTCACATTGATGATTCTCTCTCCCCACCCTCCCTCCTTCCTTTCCACTCTCTAAAAATCAATGGGAAAAATATATATTCTTGAGTGAGAATCAACAGAACAAAACAAACAAACAAACAAAGATGAAGATAAGAGGGGGGATGATATTAAAATTTCCCTCCCAAATTTGTGGCATAAATTTTAATCAAGTTTTTTCCTTTCCTACCACCATCCCTCTGCTGCCTCTATTTGTATACAGGTACTTAGAAGTTTTGATTCAATAATCAGTTCCAACTGCACGGAAGAGCTGGAGAATGCTGGCATAGAGGTCCTGAAGCACTCGCAGGTATGGCCCAGCCAGGGCATGCTTACAGCCTTCAGTCGTCTGTCATGGATCACACTCTGTGCTTTTGGCTTCACCCCATTAGTTTTATTAATAGAAACTCTTGTGTACCCCAGTCAATTGATTCCTTCTAGTCAGTTTCTAGAGTACTACCAATTCTTTTCTTTATTCTAAAATGCTATATTTCTCATTAATGTATTAATGAAGCCAAGGTATAAAATATTAGAAATCTGGTTGTTGAATTTAGTTCAGTTCGAACTAAAGCTAATTCTTTATGCTTAGATGCCTTACTGAACATCCTTATTTTTCAGGTGTATATTTATTTCTCAGGAAATACTGGGGAATCTATTTTTAAAGCACACCCTTTTGGGTTTTGCGATGGAAAGAATTACAAAGTGCTTTACTCCTCAGGGACTCGCCTAAATTTCAGAATTTTCCTGGAGCATTAGGCTTGTAAAAGTGATTATTTCCCCCATAGTTTCACCCTTTCACCATAGGCCACATCAAGTAAAATAAAAAATGGGACTACGCTTTGTGAATGTGAAAGTGCCAGATTTGTGGTGGGATCAACATCAGATTCATCTGAAACCTGCACTGAACTGTGCAAGGCCTCTGCTCTCCTGACCTAATTCTTGCGCCGCCCCCCGCCCC